CTCTTGCCCCGAATGCCAGCTTCATGGGCCCCAGTCGCACTTGAGAGCCCCACTGATACCCCTACCTATTATTGAAGTCCCTTTTGAGCGCATCGCTACGGACCCATCAGAGACACCGGAGCATATTAGTGGTCCTGGACTACGCCACCCGATACCCTGAGGCAGTTCCCCTGAGAAATACCCACTCTAAGACAATCGCCAGGGAGTTAGTTCAAATCTTCTCGAGGGTGGGGATACCCAAGGAGATCCTAACCGATCAGGGTGCTCCCTTTGTGTCTAAGTTAATGAAGGACCTGTGTGCACTACTCCACATACGGGCTCTGAGGACATCAGTCTACCACCCGCAGACGGATTGCCTCGAAGGCAGTGAGTCGGGACAGGAAAGATGGGGATGCCCTACTCCCATACCTCATGTTTGCCATCTGGGAAGTGCCACAGGCCTTTTAAATTAGGCAATCTCCATTAATTTATCTCCTAGAACTGGAAGGGACCTTGGAAGGTCATTGAGTCCAGTCCCCTGCCTTCACAGCAGGACCAAGTACCATCGCTGACCCTGGCCTCCACAGGTTTTTCCCCATTTGAACTGCTATAGGGGCAAAACCCCCAAGGTATCCTAGACCTCGCCAAGGAGACCTGGGAGGGACAGCCAAACCATGGACGCCATATTGTAGAGCACGTCCTCCAGATGAAGGACAGGATCGCTCAGGATACCCCATTGTAAGAGAGCACCTAGAAAAAGCCCAGCAGGCCCAGCGAACCTACTACAACCATCGCACAACAATCCGGAAATTCCAGGTGGGCGATCGGGTGATGGTGCTGGTCCCAACAGCAGAGAGCAAGCTCCTTGCCAGGTAGCAGGGACCCTATAAAGTGGTTGCGGATATAGGGGAGGTAGATTATAAGGTGCAGCAACCTGGTCCCTGGAAACTTGAACAAATCTACCATGTTAACCTGCTGAAACCATGGCGAGACTAGGAGGTGAAGCTGGCTGCCCTGGGGGCAGCAATACCAGATGAAAGCCAACAGGGACAGGTGGGGATTACTCCAGAATTAACCCTGGGCCACAAGGCAGAGATTCGTGCGATGCTGAAGCGACACTCAGATGTGCTCTCAACAGAGCCTGGCCAGATCACTAAGGTTAAGCACCACATAATCACAGTGGTATGAGTGAATGCTAGGCCCTACCGAATCCCAGAAGTAAAACGAAAAGAGGTGCGAAAAGAAGTAAGAAAAATGCTGGAACTGGGCATCATTGAGGAGTCCCACAGCCAATGGTCCAGCCCTGTTGTCTTAGTGCCTAAGCCTGACAACAGTCTCTGGTTGGTTGGTTGGTTGGGTTTTTTTTGCAATGATTTCCAGAAGTTGAATGAGGTGTCCAAGTTTGATGCATACCCCATGCCGCAAATAGATGAGCTTGTTGATCGGCTGGGAAAGGCTCATTTTTTGTCCACTCTCGACCTGACCAAGGGGTACTGGCAAATTCCTTTGGCCAGGCAAGCCAGAGAGAAAACAGCCTTTGCCACCCCCGAGGGCCTAGATCAGTACACTGTCCTCTCGTTTGGACTACCCAGGGCCCCTGCAACCTTCTAATGACTTATGGACAAACTGCTGCGCCCTCACCGTGCATATGCAGCTGCTTATCTCAATGTCGTCATCCATAGGGACGTTGTTAAGGGCCCAAAAGCAAACAATTCCGCTGTGTAGGAAAGATAGAAAATATGGCAAAAGACCAGCTTGGCTTAACAAGGAGATCTTGCATGATCTCAAAATAAAAAAGGAGTCATATAAAAAATGGAAACTAGGACAACTAACAAAGGATGAATATAGGCAAGCAACACGGGAATGCAGGGGCAAGATTAGAAAGGCAAAGGCACAAAATGAGATCAAACTAGCTACAGGCATAAAGGGAAACAAGAAGACCTTTTATAAATACATTAAAAGCAAGAGGAAGACCAAGGACAGGGTAGGCCCACTGCTCAGTGAGGAGGGAGAAGCAGTAACAGGAAACTTGGAAATGGCAGAGATGCTCAATGACTTCTTTGTTTCAGTCTGCACCGAGAAGTCTGATGAAGAAATGCCGAACAGTGAATGCTAGTGGGAAGGGGGTAGGTTTAGAAGATAAAATAAAAAAATAAGTTAAAAATCACCTAGAAAAGTTAGATGTCTGCAAGTCACCAGGTCCTGATTAAATGCATCCTAGAATACTCCAGGAGCTGATAGAGGTGGTATCTGAGCCTTTAGCAAATATTGTGCCCATCTATAAAAAGGGGAATAAGAACAACCCAGGAAATTATAGACCGGTCAGTTTAACGTCTGTCCCAGGGAAGATAATGGAGCAGGTAATTAAGGAAATCATATGCAAACACTTGGAAGGTAATAAAGTGATAGGGAATAGCCAGCATGGGTTTGTGAAGAACAAGTCATGCCAAACTAATCTGATAGCTTTCTTTGATAAGATAACGAGCCTTGTGGATAAGGGAGAAGCGGTGGATGTCATATACCTAGACTTTAGTAAGGCATTTGATACGGTCTCGCATGATATTCTTATTGATAAACTAGGCAAATATAACTTAGATAGGGCCACGATAAGGTGGGTGCATAATTGGCTGGATAACCGTAGTCAGAGAGTTGTTGTTAACGGTTCTAAATCCTGCTGGAAAGGGATAACAAGTGGAGTTCCTCAAGGGTCTGTTTTGGGACCCGTACTGTTCAATATCTTCATCAATGATGTAGATATTGGGATAGAGAGTACTCTTATTAAGTTTGCAGATGATACCAAACTGGGTGGGGTTGCGACTTCTTTGGAGGATAGGGACATAATTCAGAATGACCTTAGCAAGTTAGAGAAATGGTCGGAGGTAAACAGGATGAGGTTTAATAGAGAGAAATGCAAAGTGCTCCACTTAGGAAGGAACAATCAGTTCCATACATACAAGATGGGAAGCGACTGTCTAGGAAGGAGCATGGCGGAAAGGGATCTAGGGGTCATAGTGGACCACAAGTTGAATATGAGTCAACAGTGTGATGCTGTTGCAAAAAAAGCAAATATGATTCTAGGTTGTATCAACAGGTGTGTTGTAAGCAAAACTCGTGAAGTCATTCTGCCGCTCTACTCTGCGCTAGTTAGGCCTCAGCTGGAGTACTGTGTCCAGTTCTGGGCGCCACATTTCAAGAAAGATGTGGAGAAATTGGAAAGGGTACAGAGAAGAGCGACAAGAATGATTAAAGGTCTAGAGAGCATGACCTATGAAGCCAGGCTTCATGAACTGGGCTTGTTTAGTTTGGAAAAAAGAAGATTAAGGGGGGACATGATAGTGGTTTTCAAATATCTAAAAGGGTGTCACAAGGAGGAAGGCGAAAATTTGTTCCTCTTGGTTTCTGAGGACAGGACATGGAGTAATGGGCTTAAAGTGCAGCAGGGGAGGTTTAGATTGGACATTAGGAAAAAATTCCTGTCAGGGTGGTCAAATATTGGAATAAATTGCCAAGGGAGGTGGTGGAATCTCCCTCTCTGGAGATATTTAAGAACAGGTTAGATAGACATCTGTCAGGGATGGTGTAGACGGAGCTTGGTCCTGCCTTGAGGGCGGGGGGCTGGACTCGATGACCTCTCGAGGTCCCTTCCAGTCCTATTATTCTATGATTCTATGATTCTATGAAACCCCGGTCTGGGACACACATTTGGAGAAGGTGGTGGCTGTACTGGACACCACGAGGGAAGCTGGTGTAACCACAAACACGGCAAAATGTGCAACAGGACTAGCAGAGGCCAAATACCTGCGGTACGTAGTAGGGAGGGGCTTAGTGAGGCCCCAATTGATAAAGTGGATGCAATACAGAACTGGCCCCGGCCTGTACAAAAGAAACAGGTCCAGGCTTTCTTGGGACTAGTGGGGTATTACCGGAGGTTTATCTCCAACTTTGCTTCCAGGGTGTGTCCCCTGACAAACTTAACAAAAGCCCGGGGCCCAGACATGGTGCAATGGAGCCCAGCAGCAAAAGATGCATTCAACGACTTAAAATCAGCCCTGTGCAGTGACCCAGGGCTCATAGCCCCAGATTTTGAGAGGGTGTTCCTAATAGTGACGCCTCTGAAGTTGGGTTGGGTGCAGTATGGTACCAAATGGCTGGGAGAGGTAGTACAGGATGCTCTTCTAAGTCAGAAGCTCCTCCCAAGGGAAAGAAACTATGCCATCATGGAGAAGGAGTGCCTTGCAGTGAAGTGGGCCATGGAGAGCCTACGATACTACCTGCTCGGACGACAATTCACCCTCGTCACAGACCACGTGCCCCTACAGTGAATGCACTGGAATAAAGACAGGAATGCAAGAGTAACGCGATGGTTCCTGTCCCTACAACCATTCCACTTCCAAGTGAGGCATAGGGCCGGAGCCAAGCATGGCAATGCCAACGGCCTATCAAGGGTGCACTGCCTGCCGTCCCAAGTAGCCCAACCCCATAGTGTTGAGCAGGGGAGAGGGATATGTGACAGAGCAGGTGAAAGGGCTTGGTGGAAGGGGAGAGAGGCAGCTTTTGCAGAGGGAACAGAAGCAATCCTGGCTAATTAGAGGAGCTGAGACAGGGCGGCTGCAAATCAATCCTGGCTAATTAGAGGAGATGAGACAGGGTGGCTGCAAATCAATTAAGGGCCAAGTGAAACTGATTGGGGCTACCACAAGGCCTCTTTAAAAACCCTCCTGGGGCCGGGGGAGAGAAGAGAAAGAGAGAGTTGAGAAGGAGTTTGGAGCATTGAAATGAAGTTTGGAGAGGGAAGGAAGAGTTTTGAGACAGAGAAAGACAACTGATAAGGAGACCGGAGGAGCCGAGCAGAACAGCATCGGCCCTGCTAAAGGCTTCAGGGAGACGACAGAGGGGCAAACACCAAACCAAGGCGAGTGAGTCTTATACCATGATTCCTAAACTGTGGGACATGGGGCTGACCAGGGGCCCAGGAGTGGGACTGACCCTGCCACGCTGCAGAGCACGGGGAAACAACTCACATGGGGTTGCGCCTGCCACCGTTAGCCACAGAGTTGCCCACGTGGATCTGGGCCCCTTTTAGTCTCTCCGCACAGCATTCTTCTTCCCTGTTCTTCACGATCACCAAGGAGACGGAACGCCGGCTGCCCAAGTCCACGCTCCACCACGGCTCTGTGTCAAACCTGGTGTGGCTGCAGGAGCTTTGATCATACGCCCCTTCACGGTTTCCATCCACGGCCCTTCCTGACACAGCTTCTCCAGTAAAGTCCCTGATTGTGGACGACTGCATGGCCGGACGTCTGAGCGCCAAGTTCTGAGCTGGAATCAAAAGGTGAGAAGATGCAGGGGGGCCCCTCTCACACATGACAGAACCACTTCCCAGCAGTGACCACAAACCAGGAGCCGCGTGAGAGCCAGGCTCACAGAGGGGGCAGTTGGGGTCTTCGGACAGCAGGGTGGTGCTGGGAACTCAGCCCAGAGAGACTCTCTCTCAGCCACCACCTCCCACATTGGAACAGAAGAGTCTGGGGTATAAACACAAAACACAACAGGTTTCCAGTCACATTCTGCCGGCTCCTCACCCCCTGGCGGTGGGGCACAGCCCTGAGATAGAACCTCGACCTCACACAGGGTCAGATACTCCTCCCTGTCTGGGATGACGATGGTGACATAATGACCCTCCAAGCCTCTGCAGCAGACAGTGCTGAGAGATCCAGGTCTGATGTTGGTGATGGTCCCGCAGCTAAAGAAAAGAGCAGAAGCCATGGAGGCAAAACAAGTTAGATGTACTCAAATGCACAGTGCCTGGTGAAATCCACCCCATAGTACCTAAGGAACTAGCTGAGGCAGTCTCAGAACTATTACTGATTTTATAGAGAACTCAAGAAGGATGGATGCAGTCCCAGAGTACCTGAGACGGGCAAACCTTGTACCTGTCATTGAAACAGGGAACAAAAACGGATGTGGCTAATTCTAGACCAATCCACACAACTTTGATACCTCAGAAGAGGCTAGGACAAATTATCGAACAGTGTGAAAATAGTGCGAGGATAATAGTGCTAGGTCACAGCTGATGGGGATTTGTGAAGCACAAAACATGCCGTGTCTGGTGAATGTTCTTCTTTCACAGACTAACTGGCCTAATGGATGGGGGGAAGCCAGAGACGTGAGAGGTTTTGATGTTAGGAAGATTTTTGACAGAATCCCACGACACTCGTCTCATA